CTTGGGGCCGCGGACGGCCTGGAGTCCGCCATTGTGGTCGCCGCCCATGAATGACTCTGGGCGTTCGAGAGGGCAGGAACGGGAAACACCTCCGTTTACCCACCAACTCGAGCGCAGGTGTGGAGAGAAACGCTGCCAGACCCCAAGGGTCTTGCTCGCCGCGGACTAGCGGTATCCACTTGTTCCCCCAAGGAGCATTGCATCTTGCGCCAAAATGGCTACGGAGGAGGAGGAGGAGGAACAGGGGCTGGCAGGCCATCCAGCCCGGGACCGAGATGAAAGTCCCGTGGATGATGTTGCCCCGCGCGGCAGCGGCCTCGAAGATGACTCCCTACCAGACCGCCCCGACCCAACCCGGAGACCCGGAGTTGGGGGGGGGCAAGGGCTCCACATGTGTTTTTCTATGTTTCCCGACCCCCCCCCACACTGGAAATCGAGGGTAAATCTGAGCCTTCGGGTTGGGTTGGGGTGGTTTGGCGGGTGGTGAGACGCGCGCGGTGTCCGAGCCCTCGATCTCGAGCATCTTGAGCAGCGCGTGCCCCCACAATGCTGCGCGCGCATAGTGGCGACGAACGCCTCCAGCAACGGCTGCTTGAAGCAAGCGCATGGCGAGCGACTCCTCGCTGGGGAAGACGAAATTCTCGTTGACCACCGCGAGCCGTGAGTGCGGAGCCTCCGCTGCGAAGGCCAACTCCTGCAGGGTGGTCGCAGAAACCGGATTCACTCGTTGTCGAGAGGTCACGGTTGTGTGCTTTGACACACAGGCACGTTGTGCAAGTACTAACACGAAGGAGGGAGGAGCACCCGCCCTGGCAGAGGAGCCACCGATTTAGTCTGAACCAGGACGCCAGCGTACACCACCAGAGGAGGAAGAAGAATGGCGACGCCACCGCGCGCGCGGGCGTCAGCCGAAGCACCACAGAAACTCGTGAACGCAGAGCACCCAGAGCAAATGACCGCAACGCATCGCCGAAGATGAAGCTCATCTCGATGAACGTCTTGAAGAACGATCACCGCACGCTCGGGGGCACAGTCGCGCGAGGTACCCTTTCTTGAGGCCGGCCTTCCCGCCCGCAGCCTGCAAAAGAGTGCGACAGTTCCACGTGCAAAAGCGCATCGATTGGGAGGGGCCCTCCCGCGGTCGCGAGCACTCGAACAGCGCGGCGACGTCAAAGACACGAACTTGCCTCTGCCATGGGGGCAACGATGGGGGCGGTAACGGTGGCCAGGCGCTCCTTCGTGAAGTCATGCTCGGCAAGCTGAGTGGGGCCCCAATGCAGTGCAGGGCGGAAGCATCGCCAGGAGCCGCCGTGACACGCGCGATTTTGTCCCAGCCTATCGCGACCGTCGCGCCATCACGGTCCATGTAGAAGCGCTTCTCGGAGAACGCCTCAGCCAAGGCAGCGCGACATCGACGGATAACCACTTCATTCTTAATTGGCTTAAGTGATTTATCAGGGCCGAGATGGAGACGGGAATCGACAGCCGAGCCAGGAACAGCGACACGAAATTCCGCTCGGCATCTTGACCGTCGAGGCGAAGAGCGTGAGCACGAAGAGACTCGCCGTGAACATCCAGCTGCGCCTGAAGCCGCCTGGAGAGGTCGTGCATTTGCGGACGAATCGGATTCTGCACGAGCTGATCCACGTCCGAAGCTTGGGCGGTAACTTGAGACTTGAGGGCGTCGATGCAGGCGAGCAGGTGGGCGTGGTTGCTAGCACCTTGCCAACCGAGGCAGTTAGAGAAACACGCATGTGTTCGAACATATCTGTGCATAGCTGCCGAAGGTAGTCGTCACTGGACCACACATCCTCTACATCATGGTTAATCCGATTGTCGTTGCTGTCGGCCGCCGAACGCTTCCTGGGTACAAGCGGATATTTGCCACCATTCTCTTTGCCGCGACCACGACCAGGATCGACAGAGGAGCGCTAATTATGAACGCCATCGGCCATCCTGCGGGTGAGGGCGACAAGAAAGAGAACTGAAGAGGGGCCCCAGTCCCACGGTGAAGGCGCTGAAGAGGTGCCAAGCAAAACTGCCTTGCCTGCCGCGGACTAGCGGTATCCACTTTGGCGCCACGGGAAGCCGGCATCTTGAGCACAACTGACAAAGGAAGCAGAGGAGGAGGAGGAGGAGGAGGAGGAGGAGGAGGAGGACAAGGGGCCGCCACGGTCGGCGTCGTCGTTAAAAGTCGCAGCCGCCGTCTCGCCGTGCATGCACCGCCCTCCTCCTCCACTGTCCTCCCTCCCTTCTCCCTCCTCCTGCCTCCTCCTTCTCCTCCTCCTCCTCCTCCTCCTCCTCCTCCTCCCGCCTCCTCCTCCTCCCTCCTCCTCCTCCTCCTCCTCCTCCTCCTCCTCCTCCTCCTCCTTCCTCCCCTGGCTGCCTGCACCCCCCCCCCTCCTCCTGCCTCCCTCGCTCCACCTCCTCCTCCTCCTCCTCGATCCTCCTCATCTTCCTCGATCCTCCTCCTCCTCTTTCTCCTCCTACTCCTCCTCTTTCTCCTCCTCGTTCCTTCTCATCCTCCTCCACCTCTTCCTCCTCCTCCTCCTCCTCTGTGTTTCCTGGCACTTCTTGCGTTGCCCGTGCGCCGATCGAGCGATCGCTGCGCCTCACGGCACCAGGAGGAGGAAAAAAAGCGGCCTGGGCGCCGCGGCCTGAGGTGCAACCTGGCCAGACGGTGGCCCGCAGCAGCACGCCGCGACGGGCAGAAGGGAAGCGACTCCACCCTCTGCTGCTCCCCTAGGGTTAAGTCGGGCGTGTCCCCCTACGAGGAGATTTTCCCGACGAAAAGCAACAAATACTCGGGAACGGCTTGGAAAAGGTTTCTCGGGACCCACTTCCGGTTCAAGCAGGCCGCGCCGAAACTCCCTGCCGGAAGCCGGAACGAGCTCCGGGGCTTCCCTGCGGCTCCGGCTCCCACTGTCCCCCTGACGCTCGACGGTGCAATTTCTCCAAAATGCGGCCCCCGGGATCTCGACCGCTCCCCCTGGGCTTGTGGACGCCATGAGAATGGACGCTCTAACAATCCTGCCATTGAGCTAACGATGTGTTTGAGATGTGTAAAGCATGTTCTAAACATGGTTCATGCATGTTTTCGACACGTTTAAAACAAATGTGGAGCACGTCTTAGACATCTGGGACTCCTTTGGCAGCACGCTTCCTCTACATTAATCGACTTCCACAACCGGAGCCGCGCTTCTGCTGGCCCCGGGGCCCCCGAGCGGAGCCCTATGGGGCTGGGATTGGGGAGCCAAGAGGCCGCTTGAGAGACGCAGGCCGTCGGAGATCCGGGCTCCTGCTGCGCTCGCTCACTCATCCTCTCTCTCTCTCTCTCTACATATCTCTTTCTCTTTTGTTGTTCCTCTCTCTCTTTCTCTAGCTCTCTCTCTCTCTCTGTCTGCCTCTACCTCCTCCTCATGCCATGCTGCCTCCTCCTCCTCCCTCCTGCTCCTCCCCTTGCGCCTCCTTCTCCTCTCTCTCTCTCTCGTGCCGAAACGACGACGCCCTGCGCCCTCCGACGGCCCTGCCTGTCCTGCGCGCCCCGACCTCTGGGCATCCCTCGGACGTCCCTTCCCTGTGCTTCTGTCGGTTTCGTGCGTGGTTGCTTCGCCAGATCACCAAGGATACTCCTCGATGGCCCTCGCCGAAGGAGAACTGCACACGCACACGTCCGAACGATGCCAAGACCTCCGCGGCCCGCAGGCCCGCGCGCAGGCCCGCGCGCAGGCCAGGGGCCGCCGCCGCCGCGGCGCCGCTGCGCTCCAGCGCCCCACCCCCGCCGGCGGTCGGGAACTTCTGCCCGACGTGTCGCTCACCATCGCTCGGACGTCCATTCCCTGTGTTCTTGTTCGGTTTCGTGCGTGTTTTTTTCGCCAAAGGATCAGGGATGCTCCTCGATGGCCCTCGCCGAAGGAAAAATGCACACGTCCGAGCGATGCCAAAGTCGTGGCGGCGGCAGCGGCGACGGGCTGCGCCGCGTGAGCGCACAGTGTGCCGCTCCGCTCCGCGGGGTGGGAGCCTGGGGAAAGCTCGGAGCGTCGACGCTCGGGGACTGGGGCACGCCTGGCGTTTCGCGCCGAGGCGCGGTGGGGCACGCCTGGCGTTTCGCGCCGAGGCGTGGTGGGCCAGAACCGGCGGCGCGACACGCTAAGTCAAAATTCCTGACCGCAGCTGGGACAGCTCGGGTAACTGCTCGTCGAACAGTGTGACCAGACCGTAAGGTCGTAAGGATGCGCTGTAAGCTCTGACATCCAGGCGTTGCAATATGTTCACACCGGGCGTTTTCCCCCGGTTCCAGGCCTCAGGAATCATCACAGACGAACAGATGCAGCAGAAATGCTCCAGTCATGATTGTTCTGCACTTCCCAGGGTAAGCAACAAAGCAAACAGTCGGATCCCGACGGTGCGCTTTGTTGTTCAATGCGCGGCCCCAGGGGTCCCGACCCGTTCCCCAGGAGCAGTCCTTCGCCCCCGATCCAGTTTTGACTGTCCTCGGGCCCGGGAGCGGGCCCAGGACGTCGAAATCGATGAACGAACAAATTCTCGGATATCCGGGCATGACCATCCGCACGCGCTCGTCCTCCGCCGCCCACGACTCAAGCCGATGGGGGCCGTCGCAGCGGGTGCGGGCGGGGATGCTGCAAGGCACCGGTGCTGCTGCCCGGAACTCTCCCGGGGGTGCGCTCTGACCAGGGTCTCGAAGCGAACCCAACGGTGGAGATGGCAACGCAACCATCACCGGGTCCCCAGGGCACCTGAAACCTGAACGTTGCACCCTCTCGCAGGCACTGGGCGTTCTCGCCCGGCTTCCGACCCCGGGACCGTCACCGATCGGTCCAGCTCGGGAAAGGCCTGTGACAAATGAGGCCTCACAGGGCGTGGCTCGTGACTTTCAGCGAGGCTGCAATTCGTCGCCGCCCAGGAGGCCCCAAAGGCAAGAAAACGGGGCGATGGTAACCGTATGGGTGCCCGTTCCGCTTGGGCGGTGCGGGCCCCGCCTTGCCCGCGGCATTCTCCCCGTTGGCCTTTGAGGCGGCCGCCTTCTTCTTGTCGCTGGAGCCTGGGAGTTCGGCAGTCAGAAGAAGCACGTGGATAACAAAGATTGGGTTCGGGCCCGCCCACAGAATAACAAGACACAGAGCTGACAAAAGATCGGCTTTCGAAAGAAGAGAGCACTTGAAACAGACTGGGATTCGGAAATCCAAGAATAGCTACTTTCACAACCCGCGTAAACTGCGCCAGGCGCCGCGGACAAATCATCTCCTCCTCCCGCTCGTCGTCTCCTCCTCCCGTCCGGAAAAGGGGAGGAACGAGGTGGAGTGATGCGGGGTGAGGGCAAGGAGGAGGAGGAGGAGCGAGGAGGAGGAGGAGGAGGAAAAGAAGGAGGAGAAGGAAGAGGAGGAGAGGAGGAAGAGGAGGAAGACGAGGAGGAGGACGAGGAAGAGGAGGAGGAGGAGGAGGAGGAGGAGGAGGAGGAGGAGGAGGACGAGCGAGAAGGAGAAGGAGGAGAAGGAGGAGGAGGAGAAGGAGGATGGGGGGGATGAAGGGGACGAAGGGGAGGATGGGGGAGGATGGGGGAAGATGGGGGGGAGGGGGGGGAGGGGGAGAAGGAGGAGGTGGACGACGACGACGGCGACGAGGAGGAACGAGGAGGAGCAGGAGGAGGAGGCGGAGGAGAAGGAGGAGGAGGAGGATGAGCGAGGAGGAGGAACGACGGGGAGGAGGAGGCGGGAGGCGGGAGGAGCAAGAAGCGAAGAGCGGGGAGAAGGAGGAGGAAAGAGGACCGAGGAACGAGGAGGAGGCTGCTGTTGTGGATCGCGTGAACGCAGTAACTAAAACAACTCGCTCCCATCGGAATCGGGGTCAGATTCTACACCCGACCCACCTCGACGGGACGTCTTCCCGAGCGCCTGCACTCTATCCAAGTCGGAGGGAAGGAGTCCGACAGCCTCCAGAACCACTCGCTCGGATGCAAAACCAGGGGCCTCATGCGCTTCCCTGAGAGGGCAGCTCGCCGAGCCAGGGGCCGCTTCGAACAACACCGCCTGACGCATGACTCGCATCTCCGCCAAACTCAACGGCGGCTCCGCTGCCAGGCCCGTTTCGTGAGGGTGCTTCCCCAATTATCTTGGCCATCCCTCTGTGATCCACCATGTTCGTGCTGAAAATTAATACCTCTTCTTTGGCCCTCTCACATTCTTCTGGTATTGAATGCGAAGTCGACGCGTCTCGCTAAAGTTGTTGTTCTCGCATGCCCTCCACGTATCCCCTGCCAGTGTGTTTCCCCTTGCGGCTTCCAGGTCGGCCCTGTGCTTCCGAAGCACAGGTTGTACCCGCGCCAAATCCTTGATTTCCTCCAGTCTCTCCTTCGTGTTTGATTTTACCATGTCCACCCTTAAGTTCATCAGTTCTGCCAGACGGGGACGTCGCAGTAACTGGAAGGCTGCCACTCCCTGGTCCTCTTGCTTCTTTTTGACTGGGAAAACTTATTTCATCGTTTGTCTTTCTGCATCGCTCGATGTATTCCGCGACTGGTCTGCTGCGGGTCGGTGCTGAGGCTCCCCCCCTTTGCTCTGCAGTTCGCCCCCCAGGGCCCGCGCTCCGAGATTCCCCCGCTATGCTTCTTCTGGAAGCGCAGCAGCAACAGCCTGGATCGCACTACGACGCACCCCTGCTAGTGTCCCCCCCTGGCTTCTGGAGCGCAGTAGGCTTCAAGTACTGGTCGAAAACTCCAAAGCGTTATGCTCTGAATCGCCTTGTTCGCGGACGCTTCATCAGAATTTTGCGGTCCCCATATGTGTCTGCCCGTTGTTGTCTGTGCTTGCCCGAGAAGTGAAAGTGACGTTCCAATCCAATGCCGATGCCCAAAGTATGTGGTCTCTGTGTTCTCCCGCTTTGGTGTTATGCAATTGTTGTGTCACTCCTCTCAATGCAACGCACCTTCGCACGTGCGGCAAAGTCCATGTCGGCACTGCTATGAGGTCGATAGTGCGCGTTCGCCCCCTGTCGTCTTCCATGCAGTCGTAGGTTGGCCCACAATCAAAGAAGGTCGTGGCCACTGGCAAACCACGGTGGAAACGCAAATTTCTGAGTGCTGCTCCGTTGTCGTTATCCACCTCTTTAGCCACTGGTCCCAATGATGCTGCATGTTTGCCCGAGCAACGCCTGCTTACCACCAAGTCCCTGTTGTTCGACCTGTGCATCCCCAGTTGGCCTTTGGCCGCCCCCCACTCACTAGTACATGTGCCGCCCGTGTCGCCGCACTTCTCCTCTACCCCTTCCATTTCTGTTTGAGGCCATCCCTTGATTTGCGTGCCCTTTCTCTGGTGGCAGAAACGTCGCAACTATTGTGACGTCGTACGCTTTTGTCCGAAATATCACCCCTGCTGCTCTTCCTTGTAGTTGAGCTGGTGGTGTGTACTGCGAGTGGAAGGCTTTGTCCTTCATCATCTCGTTGGACACCAAGAACGTCGCACCGCATGCCTTAGTAGTCCATTT